TGATACCACATGTTAGAAAATCATTTTTGAACTTTCTGACACAAATTCTAAAAATACATAATAGCCAAGATATTTAAATTCATGATTTTTACATATTCATAACAAAGTAACACGTACCTGTATACATGATGATAAAACTTTATCTTGAAAAAATTTGATCTTGAAGAGATGGAGTTTCTCTCTTCAATCCATTGAAATTTTATGTACTTTCTGATGGAGGGAAATGTACAGGGTGTGTTATGAAGAGAGATGATCTATTCTCTAAATCATGCTCTATTTAACAACCATCCATCAAGAGGGTTACAAACCAATAGGATTTATGATAATTTAATAAATTAATTGATTTTTTATTATTAAAATCAATGACATAAGTTAGTAACCCTTATTCATTTAAGGGATTACATAAATTATAAAATTAATATCATAAGTTATGACATAAGTTACGAGTTAAAATAATTAATAACTTAAGTTATCATGAGTTATAAAAATAAACATCATAAGTTATCATAAATTATGACATAAGTTATGAGTTAAAAAAATTAATAACTTAAGTTATCAAAATAAATATCGTAAATTCTCATAAGTTATGACATAAGTTATGAGTTAAATAAATAACCTAAGTTATCAAAATAAATCTCATAAGTTGTTAAAATAAATGTGTGTCATAAATAAAAAATATAACATACAGAACCCACCCTACATCCTAAAAGAATTAAACATCCTAACAGACATTTCACTGGGGGTCATAGTGGCCAATTATCCGTATACATATTATTTATTGCTAATGATATTCTAAGTCTTTCTAAGATAAGTACTTGATATTGCTAGCTATAAATGAATTGGATTTTATTTCACTTTTCCTATTTCAATATATTTTGTTTTGATTATGAGTATTTTTTTTTAAATAGATCCCACTAAAATATAAAATTTTGGGATTATTGCATTTATTAGAAAAAACCAATATTAATATCACATGCTCTAGAAATACTTTCTCTGGTTATTAATTCTCGAACTAGAGTGCAGATTAAAAATTTATCTAATCTGTGAATTGTAGTTTCATGTGGCTTCTTCACTATATCTAATGCCACGTGGTGTTAGATTTGCATCTATAAAAAATTATAGCTTTTATTATTTGATATAATATAATTATAGAAAACAACAGTCATTGTTAAGGAAAAAATATTACCTTAGGACTACTGATGCATCAGTACTCCAATGAAGAGGTGTCACGTGGCATTATGGTGGAATCATTGCATACGTGGCACCTCTTCATTGGATTACAGATGCATCAGTACTCCTGAGGTAATGACACTTTTTCATTGGAGTACTGATGCATCAATACTCATTTTTTCTTTGTTAAGGGCCTCCCTTAAAGACTAATCTCAATTGATGCAACTATGATGAATCACAATATCAGTCCACACGTAGAGTAAATATTTGAGGCTATTACATAAATACCACCCAATTCCTATGAATTTACATATATTACAATTAAATTTCATCTTTTACATTTATACAACTAAAATCTTTCATGTCACATAAAAATATTTTATAAGGAATGGCCTGAGGTATAAAAACAACATCCTCAATTACGTACATACCACAAAATTCTTATGTGTTTACATGTCTAGCCCCTATAGTGTAGTATTTACATTTATAACACTTTAATGTTAAAATCTATGCATGAAAGGTTATATTTTAAAGATTTGAGTGGTATGTCACAAGTTTGCAATGTGTTTTAAATTTAAAATAATTACTATTAGGGGTGTAAACGAGCAGAACATGAGCGATCCCAGACTCGGCTCGTGTTCGGCTCGTTTATATTTCGAGCTCAAAAAGTGTGTTCGGTGTTCGGCTCGTTTGCTTAGCGATCCGAACACAAGCCGTTCACGAACACAGTGTCATTTTGACAACCCTAATCATGTAGCCATCAAATGTTCATGATTGGGGCAAGACTTAAAACATCATTTGAATCTAATTTAATAATTTTTTATTTTATTTTCTTCATTAATACTTTTAATTGATTATAAATCTTTGTAGTCTTGTAGTCAACTAAATTTTTAAAAAAGAGTACCCGTTAAAGAGATATATATAATTGATCAGTAGTATTTCGAGCCAAAACGAGTCGAACACGAATGAACAAATATTTATTCTTATTGTCCGTGTTCGGCTCGTTAACTTAGCGAACGAGCCGAACACGAGCTTCTTAACAAGCCGAAAACGAGCTGTTCGCGAACAACGAGCCGCTTTGACAGCCCCAATTACCATTTCCTCTTTAGAAAGAGGATCATTGAATAAGCTTAAACAAAATAAAAATAAATGAATTTTATTCTGTTCGTATATATTTAGTAAAGGAAGATTTACATACATACCACTCAATTTCTTGACAAGATGTATTTCTCTTTTAAGTTAAAATGTGACATTGCTGATGTATATATGAAAGATTTAGGAGGGTATACATTTAAGAAAAAAAGTTAACTTTACGTGTTAGATATGTAAATACATAAGGAATGAGTGATATGTATGTAAATGACATTTAAAAAATGCCCATAGAATTAAAATTCCAGATTTTGTCCCATTTCATAAATGTTCATAGAACCCAACTTAACTAAAATTTCATATTTTGTTATTCCATAGAACAAATTCTTTAATATGAATTGTTTTTACATTCCAATCTGTACAGGAATTTTGTCTTGAATTAGTCCTCCATTCCCACTATATACTGAGGATTTCATCCTAGAAAAAAATTCACATTCGGCCTTTAATCTTCAAAGCTAGCAATGGCCGCAAACAATAGCTTCATCTCTATTGTGGCCACTGGATTGCTTCTTAGCTTACTCATTGCAGGTTTGAATTTTGCTCTTCCATCACAACATTTAATGTTGCATATATGTAACTGATTTATCATCATCATAAAGTTATTATTTTCTTATATCTATATCTTAAGATATGAATATTTAATGAATGGTCAGATGTGGAATCCATTGGAGTGTGCTACGGTAGAGATGGGAACAATCTCCCTCCGCCAAATGAAGTCATCGTCCTGTACAAATCGAACAATATAAGAGGGATTCGACTGTATGATTTCAACCAAGATGCCTTCCAAGCCCTCAGAGGCACAAACATTGAGGTCATCGTTGACATCCCTGACCCCTCAGCTTTCGCATCCGATCCCTCTGCCGCATTTTCATGGGTTGAGAATAACATCAAAGCCTTCCAAGATGTTAACTTCCATTACATAGCAGTTGGTAACGAGCTAATCCCTGGCCCGGATGCACACAACATCCTGCCAGCAATGCAAAATCTACATAACGCTTTGCAGGCTGCCGGACTTCAAGATCGGATCAAAGTCTCGACATCGATCTCCACTGGTGTTTTCGGTAACTCCTACCCTCCCTCTGCCGGTGTCTTCTCCTCAGACGCCCTCGCCACTCTCCAACCAATCATCGGTTTCCTCAATGCCAATGGCTCCCCACTCCTCGTCAATGTATACCCATACTTTAGCTACCTCGGTGATACAAACAATATCTCCCTCGACTATGCGCTCTTCACTTCATCCGGAACGGTGGTTCAAGATGGGCAGCTGCAATATCAAAATCTGTTTGATGCGATTATGGACACACTCTACTCGGCGCTCGAGAAGGTGGGTGGCGGAGGCATCACCATTGTGGTGTCGGAGAGTGGTTGGCCGTCGGACGGGAATGGTATAGCCACACCGCAGAATGCACAGACCTATATCTCCAACCTCATACAACATGCTGGTCGGGGAACTCCCAAGAGACCCGGGAAGTTCATTGAAGTCTATTTATTTGCCATGTTTGATGAGAACCTCAAAGAACCACATGGGACTGAGAATCATTATGGGTTGTTCAGTCCTGGCAAACAACCCAAATATTCTCTCAACTTTTAATTACTATATCGATATGTCAACACATGAGTGGCTATATATTTATCAATAGAGAATAAGGGAAGGTTTGCTTTCTATAAATGAAGTCCCTTCCAAAACCTAAATAAGCTGCATAACGTGTATGTTTTTATGCATGCATTACGTATGACATTGTACGACGTTGAGATACTTCATAAAATATGTTACATACGCACATCTCTTTTAATGGGGTTTTTTTTATTATTATTTCTTTTCAACATGATTTTTTGTCTGATTTTACTTTTTTTAATCATTTATAAGTAGTAATTATTAAAGGTTTTAAAGCCAATTAATATTTATTTTTAAAGAACATTATTAGATTGCCAAAAGAGAGGATGCAGAACATAGATCAACATATTAACTAAGCAGTCTATCAAATCATCTGTGTTCTTCCAAAGATGGGCAACTCAAATGTCATAAAAGGTTACACAAAATAGAAAATATTGGAGTTAACATCTACTCCAAGGACATTGAAAGGTTCATTTCAATTAAAAATTGGTTGTTCTAAAATCTGAGAATTTATATTAAGATTTAATCTTGATTTAGATTAAATTTTTAATAATGTTTCAGTTATCTATTTTTTTATAATGTATCTGATGTGAGTCAGAGGATTTGCGGCGGAAGAGTAATGAATTATCATTTTATTACTGCACAAAAATTCAACAAGCACTCAAGTAATTAAAAAGAAGCGAGCAAGAAGAGACATATTGACATTTTACATATAAAATCTTGGAAGGGAGAGAAAATCATTAGGCCTAGCCGATTTGAAATGATCCACTATATAATTTTGAGTATATGGATTCACTCACTCTTCTTCTGAATTAGAGAAGACGGAGTTACAAAGTTGATATACAATGACAACTTAACAATAATAGCTATAACGGGCTGCAAAGAATGTGGTCGTTGACTATAAAGGCAATAGCTTGTCATGAATGTTATAGATGGTGGCTATAGTTTCAACTTGTCGTATCAGCTATAATTTGAAGCCATGATAATAGTTGGTCGTGTGGACTGCAGATGATTGCTTCAAGAGCATCAATTAAACATAGACGTCATAGTAGAAAACTGTAGAATTTATTAGCCATGTAGGTCGTATTTGATCACGTAGGTTGTAGTGGTGAGTTGTTATGACATCTGTAGATTGTAAAGACTGGAGTCGGGGGCTAAGCAAGTTGTGGACCACGCAGACCATAGTTGGCCACAAAGAATATAGTAGTGAGCTATGATGACGTCCATAGACCGCAGGGGCAGGGTAGGAGTCAGAAGCTGCATGAGTTGTGAGTCATGTAGGTAGTAGTTGGTCACATATGTCATATTGGTGAGTTGTGATGACGTCTGTAAGCTGCAAAGGCTAAATTCAGGAGCAATTCGAGTTCTAGACCATATAGGTCATAATTGGTTAAATATGTTGTAGTGGTGAACTGCGGTGACATCCATATATCATATGACTCAAAGTTAAAAGTAGTGATAACCTCTATAGGTTGTAGGGGTCAGATTTGTGAACGATATGAGCTATGTAGATTGAAGTCGGTTACTTAGGCCATAGTGCTAACCTCTAATGATGTTTGTAGGTCGTAGGGGACGGATATTGAAGCTAAATGAGTTGTGAGCCACAAAGACCTTAATTGGTCACATAGATTATAGTGGTGAGCTGTGATAACATTTGTAGGTTATAAATGCCAAAGTCGAGGGCTGCACAAGTTGTAAGATATATAAGTATTAGTTATTTATGTAGATCGTAAAGTTGAGCTATGTAGAGAGATCATTAGGAGTCCAAAGAAGGTCACTATCTTTGGGGTGCATTTTGCACACTTTATTTTGGAGACGTCGTTGCATTGTTATTGGGGTACGTTGTTACACCATCATCAGGGTATGTCGTAGCACCATATTTTGGGCACATGATTACATCATCTTTATGGCGTGTCATTGCATAGTATATTGGACGATATAGTACTTCATCAGTTGTTTTTCTGTTATGCAACATAAACTAAGATTTTGTAATGCACATTATGACTCCACAAAGTTCATCACTGCAAAGAGCAGGTGGTGGTTGATGATAGTTGACGATAGGGTAAATCAACTGTGGCTGACAATGCCTGACAAATGGTGGTTAATGGTGGTAGGCGTCTACAAGATCAAGAGAATTTGACAAATTTTCTATAAATGATGTAAATTTCGACTCCTTCTCCAAACATTAGACTTCTTTTGGACCTTGATCTTGGTCTCCTCTCAAGAGGGAGGTAGGGCTCTATTTATAAAATCTGATAGAGTATTCTTTGCAAATAAAGAAGGAATTTAGACCACCCCATCGAATAACCTTGAGAGATTCAATCAATTAGACAATGTTCATTGAACAATTGAATGCCTTAATGGCATTTGAGTGATCTTTGGCTTATTTAATTTGTCTCGTTGATGTGCTCGATTTAATTATAAGCTTGTCAAAATTAGGATTCGTTTGACATTCAAACCATACACTGAAAACTTTCCAAAGTGGTTTAACAAGTTGATTTAACTAGCTTGGATTGATTTTGGTATCATTGGTTCTGTCTCATTGTGTCAGTCAGTTTGATTGTAATTTTCCTGAAATCAAAGTTATGTATAAATTTTAATCAAAGTTTAAATATTTCTTACTTAAAAAGTCGCCTCAAAATTCATGCATATCTCCATATTCATGTCAAATGATATTTTGTTGATGACATATCAGTTGCCTAGAGATTCATGCCAAATTTAGATTTTAATATTTTCCGATGACAATGTCAGTCTTGCCCAAACGTAGGTTCAACTGATACGCCAACAATGAATTTTCATCATTCTACACGAATCGAGGCTTGACTCAAATCCTAAGGAATTTTTTTAAGCAAAGAGCATTCAACCTTCAATTAAAAGCTATTCATAACTTTGATTGCAACAAACTTATAGTCAAATTGACAGGCTCGACGACACGAACACAATGACACCAAAGTCTGTCTGATGAATCCCAAATTTGTCATTTTTGGAAGCTTCTAATTTCCAATTGGAAGCTCAAATGCCTCTTAAATTTGTTGAGCTTATAGTTAAATCGAACTTCTTTACGAGACAAATCCAACGAGCCTAATCTAACTTAATTCTAACATTGTTAGAACACTCAAATGTTTATAAATCGTCATCCAATAGAAAAAATTTCTTTGAGTCTTCTGATAGAGCGATGGTTCGAATATTTTCCTTATTTGTTAGGAAACTTCTCCCACACCATACAAATAGAACCCTACACTTTTCAAGAAGAGGGGAGAGAAGCCTAGATCTTGAACTGGAGGAAACCTAGGACTTGGAGAAGGAGTTGAGGTTCAGGGTTCTACACCGAATGTCTAAGCAACGCCACCGCTTTTACACCCACCCACCACCACTGCCCAGCCACCGTCGACCGTTATCAACCGCCCTCTGCTCGTTGCAACGATGCCCCTTTCAGAATTTTCATTATAAATAATTAATATTATTATATATTTTTTTAATTTTAATTTTTATTTATTATTTTTTATTTTTATTAAAAGCTAAAAATAGTTAACAAAAAATTAATAAAGTTAAAAACAGTCAAAAAAAATTGCTAAAGCTGTAAATTGAAAGCTTTAGACAGTTAAAGAAGGTTAAAAATATTAAAAATCCAGTTTTTACTGAATTGCATGAACCACACCAAATTTTTCCTCTAAAATTGGTGCTCTCCCCATGTCAAGACTTCCTGTAGGCGCAAGAAAAGCAGAAAAAAAATGCGTGAAAACGTGAAGAAACGCGTTTTTGTTTCCCTCCCCACCTCAAGTTTAACTACTCTAACTGAAAAAAACGGCAGGTATTCTGTATTATTATTTATTCATTTGATTAACAGCGCTTAAAAATACATACATACATACATACACACATAAGTATTCAGTGATATATGTATGTACATCTACTAAACTCATTATTATTTGAACTAGGTTTTGGGTGGTATGCCCCAATAATAGACCATTCAACCAATTCTTCTAAAATTTTAATATTAAAAATTTAGTTAGAAATTTGGAACTATTCCTTCATCCTCACTATATATTGAGGATTTCATCTTAGAGAAAAATAGACATTCCATCATCAATCTCTTGAGAGCTAGCAATGGCCCCAAACAATAGTTTCATCTCTATTGCGGCCATTGGATTGCTTCTTAGCTTCTTCAACGCAGGTTTCTTTATTTCTCCTCTATCATAACATTATGTGTTGCATTTCTATATAACCGATTTATCATCACCATAATTTTTTTTAATTTTAAGACATCATTATTTAATGAATGGCTGATAGATGTGGAATCCATTGGCGTGTGCTATGGAAGACTGGGGAATAATCTCCCTCCACCAAATGAAGTCGTCAGTCTCTACATATCAAATAATATAGGAGGGATTCGACTCTACGATTACAATCAAGATGTCTTCCAAGCCCTCAAAGGCACAAACATCACCGTCATCGTCGACATCCCCGATCCCTCGGCTTTCTCGTATGATCCCTCAGCCGCTTATTCATGGGTTCAGAACAACATTCAAGCCTTCCAAGACGTTAACTTTCGTTACATAGCGGTTGGTAACGAGCTCATCCCAGGCTCTGCAGCGCAAAACATCCTCCCTGCAATGCAGAATCTGCATAACGCCTTGCAGTCCGTCGGACTTCATGATGTGATCAAAGTGTCGACGTCGGTCTCCACCGGCGTCTTTGGCAACTCATACCCTCCCTCGAAGGGCTCCTTCTCCTCAGACGCCCTGGTCAGTCTCCAACCAATCATTAACTTCCTTGCTGCCAATGGTGCCCCACTCCTCGTCAATGCATACCCATACTACAGCTACCTCGGTGACACAGAACATATCTCCCTTGACTACGCGCTTTTCACTTCACCCGGAACGGTGTTTTTTGACGGGCAACTGCAGTATCAAAATTTGTTTGATGCGATCATCGACGCAATCTACACGGCGCTTGAGAAGGTGGGAGGCCACAACGTGACCGTTGTCGTGTCGGAGAGTGGTTGGCCATCGGACGGGGGGGTTACTGTGGCCACCCAACAGAATGCGCAGACCTATATTTCCAACTTGATACAACATGTTGGGCGGGGAACCCCCAAAAGACCAGGAAATTATATTGACACGTATTTATTTGCTATGTTTGATGAGAACCTCAAACAACCACAAGGGACTGAAAATCATTTTGGGCTATTCAGTCCTGGCAAACAACCCAAATATTCTCTTAGCTTTTAATTACTATATTTAGGGCACAGTGATGAAATGTCATGCCATCAGAAGCGTGTCTATACATTTATTAATAGAGAATATGAGAAGGTTGGGTTTCTATAAATGAAGTCCCTTCCTACCTAAATAAGATGCCTAAGAGTGAGGAAAACGTGTCTGTTTTTTTGCATGCAATACGAATGATATTGTACAACCTTTGATATGTTATAGAACATTCTACGCACTTCTCTTCAAATGGAGTTCTTATTTATATTTTTGTTAATATAATTTTTAGTTTTATGTAACTTCTTTTAATTCCTTACTAGTTACATTAATTAAAGGTCTTAAACCCAATTAATCTTTTTAATTAAAGAACATTGTTGGATTGGATGAAATCATAACAAATATAACAGCACATGTCTACAAATCATCCAATATAACACTATTAGTACAATAAATAAAAAATTCTTAATTGAGTCTAATCTAAATACATTAAAACATAGAAAAGAAAAACTAATTGTTCTTGGGGTCATCATCCTCACCCTCAACATCGTCGGTCACATATGTATTGCCACGGTGATATATGTGGCACTATAGCTCCTGAATAGTTACCTCGAGGCTCTCAGCTCTGGCATCCCAAGTTTGATCCCTCTCCCTGCCCATGGACTTAATTTCATGTAGATCAGTTGTATACATGGCCTGCAAGTTGTCTGTGAGTGCGTCAACATGTCAGTTGACTTTATTGTCAACCAATGATGACATCTTACTAAAACAAAAGTGTTGTGCCTTGTAAACAAATCCCAGTGTTCTGAGATTGTACACCCTCTTCTTCTTCCACCCTTTAGTAGTCCCCCTTCATTTCTTGAAGGCTGACTGGTCAGGTGCCTGACCACTAGAGCTAAAAACTCCTGTTGAATTCTGACTTTATTCATTCTTCAAGTGCATAGAGGCATTCTACCAAAAAATTATGAAAGATAATTATCATTGAATGCATCCTACCAAAAAATTATGAAAGATAATTATCATTGAATCTGTAAGATTACTAAAAAGTTTCATAATTAAAAAATATATATATTGAACTTATATTGACATGAGAAGATCTGTCATGGTTTAATTGTTGGTTCGACTAATGCTAATATATGTATTCATGTAACTCAACGGTGGTGGGCTCCCATCCCAGTGTCTGCCTCTGTTAACAAATAAAATATGACTACAAAAGATAATTATAGATGTAAATATAACACACTGAGTAAAAATCACCATCATCTTCTTATACTCACTATGGGGGATCAAAACCACCAATGTGTAAGGACGAATTCATGCCCTCACAATCTGAGACCCAACTTTGTCGAGTTATTTGTCTCCTCCTAAGATAGAAGAGGCTCAAGTTATGGACAGCTCGGCCCAAACCTCCTTTCCGATCCACATGGGTCTCAACATGGTCTTATGAATAAAGAAGAACATATCTCACAAGCAATTTTGTCCATTGTCCTTGAAGTTCATCCAGGTATATTGATGATGATGAGCATCCAAACAGAATGCAAATAAAAATTAAAGATGGTTGCAAATAAAAATTAAAGATGGTTTATTATTATAAGAAAATAACTTAAAATGAAAAATGTAATTCAAATTTAAATAATTTGCCTCAAACTCCTACAACCACATGTCTTAAAACTATATCAGAATCTTCTTCTACGAAAGATATGGAGCATCATATTAACTCTTGATGATCTCTATGATCATGTAGATAGGGTGCCCTAATGGATAAAACATGAAAAAAAATCATTAGATAGGAAAATAATACAAATTAATATAAATTGCGATGCTTAAGAATCTCTATCCAGCTCTATGTGAAGGCATTTGATGTCCCACACAATAGGACATACATGACTGGAGGCCTACCTCAAAGTAAGCCCAAGGTGCTAGCTAGTCTACTGGGACCTACAAGGGTGGTGGGGGAAGACTTACATAACTGGAGGTAGAGCTACTGGCCTGATGGACAACAATAAAGCGGTTGTAGTGGTGATTGTTATAGTCATGCTCAGCTTTAGGATGTAGCGTGAAATTGTCTGTTTCTTTCTCTGAAGGAATCTAGAGACAATTGATCTCAAAGGAACATCCTAGTCACCATTGTCACTTGAGATCATCTGTAATAAAAAATAAGAAACAACAGAAAAATAGAAGTAAGAGTGGGAAAATTCGTATGTAAGAGAAAAAAATATAATTAAAAGCATTTTGAAAATATAAGTAAACACAATGCAAGTATAAGCACAAAAAAAATTGGGTATTAGCTTGTCATTAGTTGAGTCTATTTTAAACTCAACAAATTTGGCTTCTTCGTCTCTTAAGCAACTATACAACATTATGCTAGATTTTAAGGGAAATATATTGGGTGGTTGCAAGCACCAACGAGAGCCCAATAAGAGGAGAGAGAGGTTGGGGAGAGAGAGTGGGTCCCTATCCTCTCTCTCCTCTCATTGGGTGGTCGTGAATATGTGCAAAGAATCTACTATTTCTCCAACCCTATATCGCTCTTTCCTGTCAGTTGCAAGGCCCCCACCCATTGTCTCTCTCTTTTTATAAAGGATGACATTTTTTATTGTTATCATATAGCACCTTAGATAAATTGATAGATCCTTCTTGGCTTTTACTTATTGGTATGTTAATGTGTGCAAGCCACACTTTTCAAAAAAATAAGGAGTACTTTAATAAGCTGTTGCTCTTGGGCGTGGATCTCCATTTTTTTTCTTAATGCTAAGAAAATTCTGATGAAATTTAATGGTGCCAGTGAATGTCAATTCAACAGTGCTTATATAATATCTCCATTGCAGCCGTGAATTCCTTGTTAGCATTCCGTTGAGAAGGTCAGCAGTTAGGAAAATATATATATTATTATAAGAAAAGAAAAATAGAGTACACCTAACAATCATCTGCACGAATCTTGAGATAATCTAACAATTAAGATCACAGAAAAAAAAGTTACTAGGCATAATGAATACAATTGCCTGAAGACCGCCTGTTGACCGACAGTTAGCCGACAGAATGGCTGACGACCAACTGAAGGCTAGTCCGACGACCAAATGAACTCTCGAGCTAATAAGAGACAGTCATTCACGTCAACAATTGAACAAACGTCTAACGCCCGAAGCTCACAAGTATCACTGTGAGGCTTTCGCAACTGCTCCCTATAAATGGCTCAAAAAATTATCAAGGAACAACAATTAGCCGAGTTGACCAAACGCCCTAAGGCCGACCAACTGCCATAGTCAAAACCAACTGGCTTCTCAGAGCGAATCAAAGATAATTGCAATTCAGACAAAATAGTTGATCGACAATAGTTTAGTCGACTATCCCAAGGACGTGCCTACCAGAAGGTCCAAACATAAGTAAATGAGTCAAAAGCAATTATAAATATGACAAGACACGACAAAATTTTACAATATCATGTAATAATCTTATTAAAGTAGGCGCAAGCATGTAAGTTTATACCTTTGGCCCGTTGTCTCGTATAAATAGGAGGAGCGTAGCATGTATTAGGGGGTTTTGCCCCCTTAGGTTTTTGGGTTCTTCTCCCAGGACTCATACGCTGTACGGAGAACTCTCTCTCATTCTCTCTTGTAACCTCTATTTTTCAAATATAAAATGTGCCACAGAGTCTATAAATACCCTTGTGTGACAAGTCTGTGTGTGGTCTCTCCTTCTTTCTCTCCCTCTGTCTCTCTCTCTAGCTCTCCCTCATAGTTTCTAGGGCTCTAACTCTCAGGCATGCCTTACAGGACAAATCTGGATTCAACAAATAATATAGAAACAAATGGAAAAAATATCTTAATAAATATAAAATAAATACCAAAAAACAAGAAAAACAAAAGCACGAAAAATTCCTACAATATTATGCATAACAGGAGGAAGTGTATGGAGTAATAAAAACCTGTATCTTATCGTTAGTCTGGATTCAACAGATATAGAAACAGACAAAAAAATATATCTTAATAAATAAAAAATAAATACCAAAAAACAAAAGCCTGAAAAAATCTTACACTATTATGCAAAACAGGTGGAATTTTCTGCAAAACTCAAATTTCATTCTTTATTATTATTTAATCATTAACAGCTCTATAAATTGTTTTTTTTTTTTTTGGCATGTATTTGAGGTCTGTCACGTGAGAAGAGTTGTGCTCCATCAATTTAACAAAATGCCCATGCAATTAAAATTTCAGAGTTTGTCGCATCTCATAAATGCTAATTACCCATCCAATTCCCCCAAAATTTTAATATAAAAAAAATAGTTGAAAATTTTGAATTTGCCCTTCACCCCTACTATATATTGAGTATTTCATCAAACAAAAAACATCACATTCGATCATTAATCTCTTGAGAGCTAGCAATGGCCGCAAACAATAGTTTCATCTCTACTGTAGCCACGGGATTGCTTCTTAGCTTCCTCATTGCAGGTTTCAATTTTTTTCTTTTATCATAACATTTAATGTTACATATATTTTATTTATTTATCATCATTTATGATTATAATCTTCATAAATTTGTATTTTTCATATCTTATGGCATTAATATTTACTAAATGATCGACAGATGTGGAATCCATTGGTGTGTGCTATGGAAGAGTGGGGAACAATCTCCCTCCACCTAATGAAGTCATCGACCTTTACAAATCAAATAATATAGGAGGGATTCGACTCTACGATTACAATCCAGATGTTTTCCAAGCCCTCAGAGGCACAAACATTGTCGTCACCGTCGACATCCCCAATCCCTCGGCTTTCTCGTCTGATCCCTCTGTCGCTTATTCATGGGTTCAGAACTACATCCAAGCCTTCCCAGATGTTAACTTCCGTTACATAGCCGTTGGTAACGAGCTCATCCCAGGCCCTCTTGCGCAGACCATTCTCCCTGCAATGCAGAATCTACATAACGCTTTGCAGTCCGCCGGACTTCATGATCGGATTAAAGTCTCAACGTCAATTTCCACCGATGTCTTCGGAAACTCCTATCCTCCATCTGCTGGTGTATTTTCCTCAGACGCGCTCGCCACTCTTCAACCAATTATCAGTTTCCTCGCTGCAAATGGCGCCCCACTCCTCGTCAATGTATACCCATACTTCAGCCACATTGGCGACCCAAATCATGTCTCCCTCGACTATGCGCTCTTTAATTCACCCAACACAGTTGTCTATGACGGACAACTGCAATATTGGAATTTGTTTGATGCAATCATTGATGCTCTCTACTCGGCGCTTGAGAAGGTGGGTGGTGGCGGTGTCACCATAGTGGTGTCTGAGAGTGGCTGGCCATCGGAAGGCGGGCATTCGGCCACGCAACAGAATGCACAGACCTATATCTCCAAACTTATACAGCATGTTGGGCAGGGAACGCCCAAGAGACCTGGGAATTACATTGAGACATATTTATTTGCCATGTTTGATGAGGACCTCAAACAACCACAAGGGACTGAGAATCATTATGGCCTCTTCAATCCTGGCAAAGAACCCAAATATTCTCTCAGCTTTTAATTACTATATTTGGGGCACAGTGATGAATCAATCCTTAAGCCGGCATATATATGACTTAAGAGTATCTATATTTTTATTAATAGAAAATAAGACAAGGTTTGCTGATAAATTATTCTATTTCTTTTTAAATGTAGTTTTTTTTTATTTATTTATCCTTTTCAACATGAATTTTAGTTTTATTTTACTTATTGTAATGCAATAAAAAAGGTTGTAATCTATATTTGTAATGCAGATTTATGGCTTGATAAAAGTGCTGATGGACAACTACTTAGATCAACATATATATTAGTAAGCTGCATATGAGATCTTCTGACTTGTTTCTTGTCTACCAAAATCTTTGCCAGAGAATTCCCATCTCAGCGAACTTGAAAAGTTCGTTTGGATTATAAATTTATTGAAAATAAAATTTGTTGTTTCTTATCTACCAAAAACTTGAAAACTTCGTTTGGATTATAAATTTATTGAAAATAAAATTTGGACGATCACGAAATTGAAGATTCATTCTTTATTTCATATTTTTTAAAAATCTATCAATTATCTTTATAATATTTCTTTATTCTTTATTTCATTTTTTATATGATATTTTTTTAAAAATCTATCAATTGTTTGTTTTTCAAAGCATTAGAATACGAAGCTATAACTTGAAGCTTTTCATTACTATTAATTTTCTCTTAAAGTCGTTGAAGTTTGTGCAAACTGATCAAATTTATGGGCTGAGATATAAAAACTAGAAAATGATTGAGAAGAAAAGAGTAGAATGAGGCGACTAACAAGTCAAACAATAATGTATCAATTAGTTTTTCAAAACCCCATTCGGAGACTACTATTTGAGGTGGGTGTAGCATTTAAAAAAGGTGGAAGTAAAGTTATGGTGGAGCAAATGATTTCTTAAAAAATTAGTGTGGGAAATATTAATCTATATTTTTTTGTTCAAACAATCAGACAATAATTTTCTTACGATCATCACATCTTAACATGCTAGGTTGAAAAAGAAAAATTGTTTTCCGCCAAAAAAAATTTCTATAAAACATAAGAAAACAATCCCCCAAACGTACTTGTGGTGTCGGTGTGAAACAAAAAACACAGAAAGAATTGTACATATATGTATCTATATATGTGTATGTATATATGTGTATGTTGAATCCAAATATGTTTATTTGACCCTGCACATGTAATAGAACATTGTATCAAGGAAAGAAGATTGAGAGAGGGAGAGATAAAAAGAAAAAGAGGGAGAGAGAAGAGGAAGACTTCCCCGAACGAGGGAAGAAGGGGGTGTTCCTCGGGCCCATGGACTCATTTATTTCTCTAAAAATAAAGGTTACAAGTTAGGGAGCCCAAATGTTAATTTTAGATCATGAAACTCTCCTATTTATGTAAGACAGGAGGGGTAAAAAGTATATAAAATTTACATATTTAAGGTTGCTTTGAGGAGGGACAATGGACATTCTAGTCCATTTATCTTGGACCGTCAAATTACTTTGAGATCCATGTAGACAATTTTTGAATATACAGTATATATATAAAGATTTGTTGGAGGCTATTATACGAGCCTCCCAACCAGCCTCATGTTCATATAAATTTCATATATATATATATATATATATCATGTGCACTTGCTAAATATAATTAAGATTGATGCGTGCTAGAAAATTCGTGGCGGTAGAGTAATGGATTATCGTTTTAGCATTGCGCGAGGATTCAACACACACTCAGATGAAAATGAATCAAGCTGTGATAATACCATAAGTTTTTACATGGAAAACCCGTAAAGGGGAAAAACCACGAGACGTGACCCAGTTGTAAAAATTCACCATAAGTTGATGATTACAGATTCCTCTTCTCCCACAAACGGGAAAATGTTACTAGTTTTCCAAGTTATAATGTCGATTGACGACGTCTAGCAATGGTTGGCGGAGGTAGGCGGTGATCGACGGTAGTTGACGATAATCGATGACGGTCGGCAGTGGTCGACAGAAGTCAGCGGTGGCTGACGACAGTCGATGACGGTCGGCGGTGGTCGACAGAGGTCAGCGGTGATTGACGACGATCAACGGTGGCAGGCGGTGGTCGACAGAGGTCAGTGGTGGTTGTCGACGGTCAGTGGTGGCCGACGGCGATCAACGATAGCGAGGATGATCTTGAACTTGAGCTCCTACTCAAAGCCTTAAGTTCTCTCTTAAGCCTCCTCCCTTTCATGTGAGGGATGATGCTTTAGTTATAGTGTTTTGAGTGCAATTAATGCGGGAATATAAATCATTTTGATCGGACGGTCCGAAGAACTTCCTTTGATCCGATGACGTTTGATGGACATTTGAGTGCATTAACTATGTCAGAATTAAGCAATATTGGGCTCGTTGGATTCGACTTGTCGGGGAACTCGTCAGATTCGACATCCGTTTGACCTTTCAAATGCCTCCGGAAATCCTGCAATAGTGTTTTAATGATTTGATTTGGGACTGATTTGATTCGGATTGGACTGACTTTTATATCATTAGGTTCGTCTTATCAAGTCGATCAGTTTAACTATAAATTTGTTGAAATTGGAGCTCCGGATGACTCTTAATCGAAGTTTGAATGTTTAGAGAGGAACTATTTATTTAGACACTGGGGTTTACTCCATCTTGGGATCATAAATATTTTAATGATTTGATTTGGGATTGATTTGACTCGGATTGGGCTGACTTTTATATCATTAGGTTCGTCTTATCCAGTCGATCAGTTTAACTATAAATTTGCTGAAATTGGAGCTCCGGATGACTCTTAATCGAAGTTTGAATGTTTAGAGAGGAACTATTTATTTAGACACTGGGGTTTACTCCATCTTGGGATCATAAATATACATATTTCTACTTCTCCCCCGAAAAGTTGGAATAGCAGAAGTAGATTAGTAATCTGAGCAAAGGCACAACAATTTTTTGGAAGGCATGGATCTCCACTCATAGATAATAAACACTTTATTTACCCATAATATCCAATGTAATGGAGTCAGGTAGATTTAAATCAATAGCAATCTGAACACTTATCCTAACAAACATTAATCTCGAACCCTCAGCTGTAAGGGAACCAACAAATAAATGAATGCCTATCTTACAAGCAATTTTGCAAATTTCAGACTCCTCCTTGCAACAATGAGAAAGATTAGAGAATTTCACCACACATGCATTTCAAATTATTTTTTGCAGGTTTAAAATCAGAAGACCATTTTATAAATATAAACCATTTATCATTAATAAACCAAGGTAGCAAGGTCCCCCCATGATAACATTATCTAAATACTCAACATAGAAAAACCTAAATATAAAAAACTCTTTTGTAAGAAAAGTATAATCTTAATAGCTTGAAACAAATGACCATAAAAAGCCTTTTTCTAAGCATATACTCTACCAAGTTCAGATTTCACTATTTTGAACATCGCATAGCTTCTAATTCTTGGAAACACACCATATCATATGCAGAAGGGATATATCAGAGAGTAAAGAAGAGGAAGAAGAAGAGAGAAGAATAGAGAAGATCAACCCTTTACAGTAAAGAGATGGGCCGGGGCCAAGTAAATATCAAGATGAAGAAGCAGGAAAATGAGGAAAAAAGAGAGATATATGAGAAGAAAGATGGGTAAAGCCCTTAAAACAAAAAGTTAAGCAAATGAACAATTAGAAAAAAAAAACACAAGGGCCTTTCCAAGAGAAATGAAAAGAAATGAAAGGCAGCCCCCTGAAACCCTAGCAAAGCCTTCTTTTAACTCTAATCGATTGAGCTAGTTACTCTAGCTTGATTTTTCAAACCTTACTCACATACAAATAAGAATGACACTCCTTCTCTACCTTGTTACAATAAGAACATACAAAGTTTTGTCCCTTTTTTTTTATAATAAATATTATAAATATTCAAATAATGCACACCCACACACAACCATATAAAGGAATGAAATTTTAACATTATCTTTTTCTGTCTTTTTTACTTATTAAATACAATGAAACGAAGGGAGGAAAAGAGCGAGCAGAGAAATACTTTTATTTGATTTAATATTTTAGTGCATTCAAACTCGGAAAACTAGAAAGGTAAGTATTCACTTCTACTCTATTTGATTTTATATTTATAGTAGTTTATTTAAATTAAAAAATATGTGACTAAATTCCTTGTTTTCTTTTTTTGCTAAAGTTTTTATGAATTAAAGTATGATTTGTTGCGCTGAATTTTTTTTAATTATTTTTGAAAAAACGTATGAAGCATATGTTCTTACATTGTAATTTCTTGATACAATAGGATGATAGCTGATAATTATTATTTTTTTCTATATTTGAAAAATCAATTTTTTTAGAAAATAATTAAGATAAATATATTTAATTAGAAAAATTCTTTAATGCGACTAAATATGTTTTTTTTTATATTTTCGGAAAATTAATCGTTTTAGTCATTGCAATAAAACATAATTTGACCTTATTAAAACTATCCAAAATCATAAAAAATTCAAGGAAAAAAATAAAAGAAGAAAATAAAATGATGCCGGTGCAGCTTAATTAAACAGTATTGAAAAAATGAGACATAATAAAAAATGAAACTTTTCTATATTTAGATCTTGAATTGTTCAAGTAACATTAACTTATAAATACCCACGCGACGAGCAAATGAACGCAAAATATTTTTTCTCTGTTCTCATCTGCCTCCTCTTTCTATATAAAGAAGGACGAAGAAAGCTGAAGCAGAAGTTATATTAGTGATTATTCTGATAGTTGGAGGTTGTTGGGAGCATGGATCATCACCGGAAGTGGAAGAAAACGGAGGAGAAATGGCGGCCAAGGGACGAGGGATTCATGACAACGCACAATCGCCGGTCAGCTTCTCCTGGTAATATAATTTTTTTCTTAGGATAAAAATCTCATTTTTAATGAATGTTGCTCTGTTTTTCTTTTACTGTTTGTAGTTTATATGTGCCAGCATTGTTTTTTATTTGACCTCTGTTGAGTTACTTGAGCATCAATGATGAAGGAATTATTCGGCCGCAACGATGTTAGTTGTTTTAGTTTTTGACTTAAATTTGAGTTTTTTTGTGTGTAACAAATTTGTTATTATGGTGAGTGGTTGGAAGAAGATGCAGCAGTTTGAGTACTTCTTTGGTTATTTCTTACTTCTCTTGTAAATTCTTTTGGATTTACATATATAACATTTAAAATTTGGTATTTCTATTTATAACCTTTTGGTGCTATAATTTCATAAAAAAGTCGCATTTTTTTAAGAAGTTATTTTCTTATGTCTTGATAAAGATTTGAAATTTATGAATGTAAATATTTAACTTTAGCTATATTTGAGATGTATATACATAAAATAAAAATGTGTTATTTACGTAAAAGCCTATTTTTTCCCTCGGTCCTATTTTTGGTTATTGTTTTTGGATGGTAAAGATACTTAGAAGTCTTCAAAAATAACATTTTTATTTGATTAAATTTGATGTTAGTAAGAATAAAACTAATAAGTAGTTGTATATAATTAAAGAAGATTTTTTTACTCAATGGTATATGTTACAACAGTAATTGCCAGTCCCTTTCATCAACTTCAAAGACTCATCATGCTGTCCAAGTTTCCCTTCACCCTAATATGTTGTAAATTTAGGCTCGTTTCTATATAAAGAACTAGAGAATCATCAATGAATGGAAAATATATTAACATTTTGACCTAACTCCTTAATAAATTACAGAGCCTTCTATTAAATCAGTTCCCGATTGGGAGAAGAGGTTCTGCAGTCAAATTAAATGGAGAGACTTCTGTAAGAAAAAGAGATGGGTGGACGATTACCCAAATGTGCTAAATTGGGATGACTCTGCTGCAAAAGAGGCCTTTGACATTGGTAAAGCTCGCTATTGGGCAGAAATTAACAAACTCTCTTTTGAAATCCCATTGTCAGATCCAGATATGTATATCCAAGACATTGATTATTATCCTTATATCGACCCTTTTCAAATCGAAGACTTGTACAAATTGCCAACACCTCCAGAGACTCCAGAGCATAGTTACAGTGACGTTAAACCAACCGGATGGGATGTTGAAGTTGATGTTAAGCCAACCGGATGGGATGTTGAAGTTGATGTTCCGACCAGTAATATTCCAGAATATATAGTTATCAAACCAAATTCAGTTAATGACATGGGTTGATCGTTCTGTTTTTGTTCCATCACTTGCAAGATGGGGTGATGAGTAAGGTATTACACCTACAGGATCAGATGATAAAAAAGATACTACTATAATCATTCCACCACCTACAGGATAGAGAGATGAGGAAAATACTAAATCTGTACAGTTCTTATGAGCAGGTTTAGGTATAAGAACTTGCGATGAAGGCAAAGTTCAGTTTTAGCTGCAGTACTGTTGGTTATAACAGATTAGCAATCTAATTGATTTTATACAGAGAATATGATTCTTAGAAATTCTTTTGTTATGTTCTCTCTCTCTCTTTTTATAGTCAAATTAATACGTTTTTTTTAATCAATTAGGTAGAGATAAATAATTTAAATTAAAAAAAGGCTGGGGTTTATACACTCTAATTTAAATGGCTGTTAATTTTTTTTATAATTCTGGCTGTTCTGGTTATGCTCTATATATATTTTGTAATTACTTGTATATGTGTACAAGTTTTTATACAGAAAATAATCAAAATATTAATTTTTCAAATTTTTTATGTAAATTCATGCACAAGATATCCAATAATGAAATATTCTCATTAGAAAAATATACATTAATTAAATTAGTGGAAATGTCATTGAATTAATTAAATTAGTGGCACATTTTATTAACTGATGGTGGTCGACGCTTAATCGGTGTTATTTACCTCTGTAAAAAAACTGACGGGTGCTACACTTTTTCGACAGTTTATCCATCAATTATAAAAAAAAAAAGTAAAAACAACGTATAACTGATTGTCTTTTCTGCTTAAAAAAACCGACAGGGGTGACACTTTTTAGACTTGTGTGTCTTCGCTATTACCAATAAAAGAACCGTCAGTTATATGAACCGACAGGGGTGACACTTTTCAGACTTGTATGTCTTCGCTATTATCAATAAAAGAACCGTCAGTTATATGAACCGACGATTACCTATAACTCGAATTTTCTTGAAAAAATTTATGACATTAAACTGTGCGATAATCGTCGGAATATTAGTCGATTTTAGAATTACTAGATTTTTACCTAGAGCGTCTTACCTAAAGCTTAATACCGTTGGCAACATTAAAAGCAACGGTTTTTCTTATCATAACTGATAAACTATGGCCTTCGAAAAAGACATAAAATTTCTACAGTGTTCTCAAAATCTGGTGAAATCTCCGAGTGGCATATTTTCTCAAATGATAGTACTAAACTATAAGCAATATTTATATTCTTGTAGTTAATGAATTTTTAGTTGTTCTCTTATTTTTTATATATATGATGTTAAAATTTTGAGTGTTATAAATATAAATATGAATATTTAGCTTTACGTAAAAAATATGCCAACATTGATAACGATGAGATCTATCGTTCTAGAAAAAAAAAGTACGATGAAGGAGGGTCCGCCAACAGAAGATCAGGAGACTCATTTATCTGCCCGAGTGAAGCTGTCAGAGCCAAAACCAGCAATGCCAAAGCCTATCGAGACACAAGTAGAATCAAAAGGCAACCCAATGATCCGAGGCCAAATCATTCAGTCATAAATAAGACAAAGAGGCATATGAGCAAACAACTATGAAAAAGTCAGATATGAGGGAAGATCCAGTTCCACATCATCTCTAACCATCTTAGGGAAGCCTAAAGGCTCCCCATCAGGGGCCAAGGATTAACATCAGGGCCATATCAACTAGCCGACTCCAATATAAAGTGCAACCAACCAAGCGGATTTCAGCTGATCGAGCTAATCTTGCCAACTTGAAGCCATATAAACCTAGCCGATCTAGCCAAAAAGCGGTTGAACGATAAACTTATCCATGTAAATTATAAAAAATATCCCAATACAATCCTCATTAAAGTAGGGGGAAAGAAAATTTAACATATTAGCGTATTATACCATCTGTCCTATAAATAGAGATCATTTCATGAATAAAATATGATGTATTACTGTTCACTCTTCTATGTCTTCTCTCACTCTCTCTTCTATTTATGTTTTCTTCCTTGAATTTGATTCTTGGACAAATCTGAATTCAACAAAGTCTTAAATATTAAATAGATAGAATTGTGTTGTATGTATGCTAACACCCCAAACAAAAAATGATAACCATATTAGTTACATTGTATTACCGAAGAGTTCTCTTTAATACTAGTAGATTGTATATATAAGGTCCACCTATTTATAGGGCGTGCTTTAATTTAACTCCCAACTTACTTTTTAGATTTAGATGTATTTCTTATTCAATAATACAATTTGTTAAAGCGTCATGTGGCATCATCATGACACAAGTGATTTCTAAATTTATAGTTAAATAATTTGGTCGGTAGTCGCACGCATGAATTTGTTATTTGCTAAAAAGACACTTGCACGGTGAGTGTTTTTTAAGACTTTATGACTTTTAGATATGTTGACGTACTAAAGTCTATTTTTTTTATGTAACTGTCTTTTCTATAGCCGTTTTAGTTTACTGAAACTCATCAGACTTAGACTATTCTGCTACGAGAAATTATTGTATACGGACA